CTACTAATTTTCTTTACAAAGAGTGTCAGTGTAGAGATTGTCAGCAGCTACAGTTATTTATTAGAGAGCTTCTGGGAACTGAATTGCTTTTCTAGTCCTTTGAAACACGTTGGCATTTGTATTTTCCTAGCAATGGAACAATAGTCCATAGTCAAAATAGTAAAAATGAATTCTGGCTGTACTTCCCATGCTGTTAAAAGATGACTGAAAGTGCAGGTGACTGGGAAAAAGAAGGTCTAGGACAGTTGGCTAGTTTATTTGTAAAGGGGACATTGAAAGGGAGGAAGAAGTTTAATTTTTCAGTTTATTGTTTTAGCTGATTTAACTGTGGCATTCCACAAGTGCACTGAACTTCCTGCAAGGAACCAAAAGCCCCTCAGGGATTGCAAAAAGGAACAATGGCTAGGGTGCTAAAGGGATATCATTAAAGGAACTGTTTGTTTCATGGACTCCTTGCTGTAACTGCTTTTTCTGTAAAAATGCTTGCTTTGCGAGCACCAGGATGTGAGTTTGGGGAGTTCAAAGAAATTATGAAAATGCTTACGAAAGTGCTCAGGCACCAGGATGTGTTTTTTCCCTAATAGAAGGCCAGTGCTTCTTCTGGGAGGCTGCTGCTCTTCCCATCAGCTGGTGTCAATAAAGACTCCTACAAATTTTAACCTTTTGATCTCTGGTGGACTTTTGATCGTGACCCCACAACAGGTTTGAAAAAAGGTAATTTAGTATTCTATTTTTCTGTAACGTGAAAGGTTCAGTCAAAGATTCAAAAACTAAATCATAGTTTGTGGATCTTATGAGTATCATGCTTTTTCTTTTTTTAAATTAATGTTTCAATGAACACAGTCATACACATTTCTTTAGCTATTCCCATGGCTGCTTTCACAATAAACAAAACAGAACAAAACAAAACCTGAGTAGTTATTATAGGAAGCATAGGTTCCCCAAAGCCAAACACTGGTTTTAAACTGGAAATACTGGAGTTAAAGAATCATATGATCATGATATGACCATCTCTGATCTACTTCTACTTTCTTGTTTCTCAGCAAGTTATAAAATTATTTTTTCTAGTGTAAGCTGAAAAATAACTTATTTTGCTGATTCTTACTACTGTGGTTCCAGAGTCATCCCTTATTACTTCAACTTTGTGACAACAATATCCTAGCTGGTATCCAGGCACAAATGTCTTATCTTTCTAATTTATTCTTTATGTTCCGATAGATAAAGCACTGCTTTTATCAGATCCTTGCTCCCACCACTTATTGAACAAGGTTTAAAATACTGATCCTGACATTTATAGTTCTCTATGAAATCACCCCGGGGGCTCCAGCTCACATCTTCAGATCTTCAATTTACCTACTCTTTTGTGACACATTTAATGCCATTTTTTAAAACCTCAAATGTTTAGCTGTTATTTTTAAGAACAGACGTTGCTTTGTATTCTTTCTCCTTTCTACTTAGTCTATTATCTTTCCAGTCAAGTTTCTTCTCATTCTTTTGCTGTTATTATGTGGATACATAAGTGCATACATATGTGTCTATACGTTACTGGGCCCACTCGAGCAAATCAACGATCAACGGGAGGGCCTTTACCTTACCTTACCTTACATATATATGTATGTATGTATACTGTACCACTGCACCGTCCTCCCATTGTTCATCGATTTGCTCAAGCAGGCACCAGTAAAGTCTCACAACAAGTTGTGAGACTTGTTGTTATTCTTTTTTTGCATATCGAATATGTCACAGGTAACTTGACAGGCTTTGCCATGCAGGCGGAATACTCTCAGTAGCTTGGCAGGCTCTCCAAGAAGGGTGAAGGAATCGAATGCAGGTTGGTCACGTGCAAGACAAATGCCCTACCTGCTGTGCTATAGCTCCAGCCCATATGATCTCCCGACTTCCATTTAGGTATTTCTTAATTACTTTGGCTCCAAACTATTGCTTTAGCAATGGATTAGTTTCAGTCTTTCACTTTTATTTGGTGGGTGATTTTACTTAGAGAACTCATCTCCCTAACCAAATACAATTCGTCTTATTCTGACACTCACAGGTTTTCCCATACAGACTTCTGAATGTGATCACAGTTGAATGAGTTATTGTAACTGGAAAGTGTGAAGTCTTAGAAATTACAGGAGATAAGTACACCAAAGTCTTTGCTTATTAATAAAAATTTCTATTACACAACGATTTTAGTCATTAAAAATTCAGTGCTAACTCTCAATTTTCAGTTGGAACATATGGAGACAAAGATGAAACAGCAAAAACTTGGTGGGTCAATTATGCAAAATTATAAAAAGCATGGCCATTAATAAAGAATATATTTCCTTTTTATTAGAAAAATATTTAATTTTTAAAATTCTCCCTTTTACATGCTTCTATAGAAAATAGACTCTTAAGGAAAATATTCAATCACCTGAGTCAATAAGAACAGAGTGTGGAAACTAAAGTGATTCTGCTGATCATATTTACATAAAAATCACTTCTTGGGCAGGAGACATAGAAGCTTTGTATGACAGCCTGCCTTGCCTGCTGCCATGTCCAGGACAATTCCTAACCACATATTGTTCCCTGAGCAGTTTCGGGTGTGATCCCTGAATAAGAACCAGAAGTAAGGCCTTAGCACTCACAGGTGTGGCAAGCAAACCAACAAACACTTAGCCCTTGCCCCCCAAAGAACCAAAACTCTCTCCCAAATAACTCATTATAATAATAAAACATTTTCAGCTTAGCTATTCAGAAAATTGAAAAGACTGCTGAGAGAGGGGAGTGTGTGTAGGGGGAGGGGGAGAGAGGGTGGGAGAGAGGGAGGAGAAGGAGAGATAGAGGAGGGAGGGAGGGAGAGAGAGAGAGAGTGAGAGAGAGAGAGAGAGAGAGAGGGGCCAAGATTAGGAAGCACTGTTTATAAATACAGAGAGGGAGAGGTGCTTGTTATTAGGAAACCAAAAATATAACAATCAGAAAGTGAACAGAAAGTATTAATGAGGAGGCCTTATACCTTTCCCTCCCACACCCCCAGAGTGGAAGGGGTCACAGAGGGGAAGGGGTCACATACTACCAAACAGTCAGGCAGATGAGGAATGTACAGAGGTTTTCAGATTTGATAATAAAAAAATTGCTGATAATTATAGAGATCAAAACATGTCAAAAAGCAAAAGACTCCATTAATATTATTGTTTTTGTGTTTAATATAGCCTGTGCATATATTCAGAAGGGTTAGGTCTAACAGAAAAGGAAAAGAAATTTATTATTTTATGAACACTTCATATTTGTAAAGTGTTGTAAGGATACATATAATTATAACCTCAGAGGAAGGAGATGAATGAACCAAGGTTGAGTAGTTTTTAAGTTCAGCGTCTGGAACTGGAGTGGTTTTTCACACATGTTGCTTCCACCACATCTCAAAGTGTTTCTAGTGGTATTCATACATAGGCAGCTTTCATAAATTGAACCTTAGAGTTCATTTCACACTTTGGTTCCGGAAGATTATTTTGTATAGATTGTACAATGTGAAAATTGGGGAAAAAAACACAGTATCATTTGGTTTAGCCTCTACTTTTGTTCTTTTTCTTTTTAGTTAACTGTGGTCCAGAAAGGAGAGGTGATGAAAAAGATTCACATAGCATTATGAAAAAGCTGGGCTAAAACATTAGTTTTCTGGTTCCCAAACTCATATATATTTATAGAGTCTGAATGACCCAAAACATCTGCAAGTATATTTTGACTCCGGGAGGAATTAGCAGAGTAGAGCATAACAAGAAGGCATCATATCAATCAATGTCTTAATGAGTAGTGTGAAATGGGGTGAATGCCTTTCAATTCTAAATCTCAAATCTCATTAAGTCTAAAGGGAGACAGTTTTAGTCTGAAGTTGATGATAGGAAATACATAATAAAATTATGCAGAAAATAAAATCCTAAAAATCCCTAGGTAGTTAATTTTTTCTAAATTAAATGTTTCATAAATATACATAAGATTAATAATATAAAAACAGAGTATTTGGAGGCTGGAGAGATAGTACAGTGCGTAACATACTTGCTTTGAATATGGCCAAATTTAAAAAGAAATTCATCTTTCACAGTAAAGAGGAGGCTTAAGATCAAAGAAGTAAAAGTGGATTCTGCTTAATATGTTCAGATTTTTGTAATATTTGAACACATAACTACAAATGAGAGCAAAACATGCTTTGATGAGCTAAAGAAATGTACCTGTATATTCAATTAATACTGAACAAAAATTTAAGTCAATAGCAGAAAATATACCCTAAAAATCAGTATGAGTAAAGCCAAGCAACTATTTCATCAATACTGAGATTTCTACAAGTGTAAATATGTTCCAAATTTTGGGATGTAAGTATTGTTCACAATGCCTAGTTACTAATAATGGAAAATTGGAAATATTTCCATCAGTCATTTAGGCAAGATTTCATGTTATCTAGTAGAGCAGACAGATTGCAATTCACACATGGCAGGTTTCAAGTACATAAATCTGTCATTTAACAATTAGTCCTGAATATGAACAGAATTGGGGATAATCATGACAATATGAAGGGTGTCATTGCTGATGTTTTCTAGGCAATCTAGCCAATTATAATATAGTCTATATATACCCTGTATGCATTTAAGTAATGATTTAAAAATCTTAATACTCCTATTGATTGTTAAAGCGACAAGCCGAGTTTTATGACATGCCATGACCCTCCCAAAGTAACAACGACAACAATCAGATAGCTGCGGAATACCTTCTATGAAAAAGCCTTTTCAAGAATTTGGTCTATATCTTTCAGGTCTGAATGAGGAAAGTGTTGAACCAAAGAACGAAGGGTGCAATGAGAAAAAGAGAGTTTCTGTGTTCTAGAATGAGGAAGACAGTCTGGAAGCAGATTCATAGCTACTTTTTCCTGCCAGCTACGCATGACATCAAAGTGATACATTCATCAAAGTACTTAGTTATTAGGGTTGGAGAAGTTAAAGGCAAATCAACTATAGAACAGGGTCTCTCACCTCTTGCCTGTCGTCCCGGCCCACAGCCTTCTTGGGCCCCAGGGCTGTCCTGTTGCACACTCCAAGGGACTAACTGGCACCTGCGCCATTTGTGAGTTTTCCACCTTCGAGAAAAAAAGTTCATGGAGAAAATATAAAATACTAAACAAACCACAGAGACAGGCATGGAAACAGGAATTTGAATACTGAAAATTAGAATTTATTTAATAGTGCTCTCAGTGCTATCTAAATTTCATTGAGATCTCTATTAGATATTATAAAGGCATTATCAAATACAAATGTACTTTCTATGGCAGTGGATACAAGAGTTCATTATTGTAAAATTCTTCAGGAATGGACTCTAAAGACTTTTCAATGACTAAGGTTGCCAGGAGATGTATTAGATAGTCCCAAAGTTATACCTTCCATTTAAGCAGGATATTCAAATGATTAAATTCTATGTAGTTGCATGTAAGTCAGAAACACGTTGTGTAATGTTTTAATTAGCAGTATAGATAGGGTAACTCATAAATTTTCATTTCAAACATAATACACTTAATAAAAACAAAACCTCCAAATAAACATTTAGGCTGATGGTTATCTGTTATGGAAACATACAATTATAATGTCTGTTATCTTAGAATTAAATACAAATACATTAAGATGGCAAATTGTCTGTAATTTTTTATCTTAAATTAATATTTTGTGATCACACAGTGCATCAATTGATGCCATAATATTTCCTTTGTTATCAGGAATGCAATTATATAGTACATCAAGTTTCAATTAGGAATTTTGTTTGGTGGTTATGAGGAAAAAATTCTCCAATCACTGTCAAGATAATGATAGGTAGTTTAATAGCTTTAATTCTCTTTATGAGTATTATCTGAGTTAGCAACAAATGACCAGAACATTTTACGAAGATGCCTGGGATAAAGATGTCATTTTGTGAGCCAGAACGCCAGTCTTTATGAGGAACAGGTGCTCTGAGAGCTAGGGGGCAATGCCTAGCCTCATCCTCTAAGTGAAAAAGAATGAATTCCCAAAGCAAATGCGTTTTCTAATTATTGACCACTTTCCAGCACTTCTCAGAGCGACATAGGAAATTTCTCCAAATTCCTGAAGATAGTAATACAGCTTGGAACTTTACATAAGCCCTTTCCTGGAGATAATTTCAGTGACAAAGCAATTCTCCTTAAGAAGCAAGAGATCATACATCTGGTCATGAACATCTGACTCTATGCAGCTGGATGAACATCATTCGCTTCCTTTTTTCCCCCATTATGAAACAATAGGAACTTGAAGGATTTTCTCCAGGCATCACACTCAGTGCTTTCCCTTGAACTCTGTTACCTGTAGCTTTGGCACACTGGCGGGGCCTCACAGACCTTCTCTTCATAGAGGGGGTCTGTGCAGTCGCGGCCTCCATTGGCTGCCAGCTGAATGATGACCCGGTGCCGAGACTGCTTCTTGACCCCGGAGTCACCTGGAATGAAGCAGCTTTTTAACCTCTGTACTCTGCACTAATGAAAGAATCTTCAAATATCATCCCCAGTGTGAAGAGACTATATTGCCTCTAGCTACCTGTGCTTTGACATCCCAGAAAGAAGTCTCATTTAATCCAATCCCTTCCTCAATTCGCCTGAAGACTGTGTATATGGAAAATCCAATCTATTTGCATTTTAAAAAAAGTGAAAAAATGAAGAAAACAGTCCCATAGTTCACCAGCCTTCCTAAACCAGAGTTACAAAGTAATTGCTCTTGTGTATGTTTCTTTTCCTTGAGAAAAATGACAGAACTAATTAATTTCTTTTTCTCTGCTGTAAGTTTATTTTCATGCCATCTCACAGAGTGCAGCTCATATACATTGAATGAATCGTTCTTAGGAGAATATATTCAGTTTTTTAATGTGAAATTTTATTTCTTTGTTATCACTTAATTGAAGATGCATAATATAAATTATTCCAGTTATCTATCATCCATACTAAACTGTATAGGATAGTCAATTCAGGTCCCATCCTAAACACCAGTGATTCTGATTGCTGCTGTCAGAGCACTGTGTTCATTTGAATAATCTACAGTTGTAAGTCACTGGATGGTCCCTGGCCTAGTGGGCCATCTGTAAATATGGCAGACTATGTACTTGGAGCATGTAGTTAAACTCTTGGCAAAGAATGGAGAACTGAAAATGCCTTTCCCCACCTCCAGTTAGGTAAGTCATTTAGTTTTCCTTAGAGTGTGAGATAGTTGAAGGTGGGAAGTATGGAGAAAACCTAAGAAAAACTGGTTTGCTGTGAAAATTCGCTTTCAAGATTGCACTATAGCTTATTCAAAGGGACATCAAGTTCTGAATAAAAAAATAATTTTGATTTTTCATGTTCCAACCTTCCATATAATAAAGTGGGATTGCTACTGTATTACTGTACTAAAGAAAACTTGGTTCTTTTATTAGTCACAGGTTGATAATACCAGGAAGCAATGGTAAAGCTATTTCAAATGTTACCTAGGTTTCTTCACAAATTTTACGTTCTTTTTGTTCCCATTAAGACTTTTGAATTGCTCAGGAAATCTTATTTCTAGAAGTAATATTCACATAAAATTAATTTAATCTTTTAAAGTAACAGTTCAGTGGCACTGCATGATGTTGTGCAATCACTATCTTTATCTATCTATTTCTAAAGCATTTTCATTATCCCCAAAGAAAGCTTTATATCCATTAAGCAGTTGCTTCCCCTACCCAGCTCCTGCAACCACCCATCTGGCCCCATCTCTATGGATTTACCTACCTGGACATTTGTTATAAATGGAATCATAGGTGACCTTATACATCTGCCTTCTTTCATTTAGCTTAATGATTCCAAGTATGATCTACATTTTAGCATGTTTTAGTTCATTCCTTTTAAAAGCAAATAGTGTTCCATTGTGTGTATAAGCCACAAATTGTTGATTCATCCATCCATTAATGCACATTTAGTGTTTTTCTAACTTTTGACGATGAATAGAGCTACTATGCAGAAAATTCCATTTCAGTTCCGGCTTTTAGTTTTTAGGGGGTACTAAGCTAGGAATTACATTTGTGGGGCAGGATAATTCAATGTTCAAGTTTTGAAGAGACACTATTTCTTTTAAGTTTTACCATGGTATTACATTTTTGCTACAATTATAATTTCCATTTAGTAATTTCGGTTTTTGTCTCCATTTTTTCCCTTTGTATAAAATATATCACAAAGCAGAGTGTGAAGAGAGCAGTTTCCAAAAATGTAAAACTAATCACATGCAAAAAATAAATAAATAAAAAATAAAAATATATCAGGTCTTATAAGCAACAGAATGTGTGTGAATTCCTAGATACAGACATTTATTTATTTATTTTCGTGAAGTAAAATAGTTTTATTTAGAGAAATACAACAGGGAGGTGGGGGGTAGAGAGAAAAGAGAGAGAAAAAGAGAGATGAGAGAGAGGTGTGTGTGTATGTGAGAGAGAGAGAGAGAGAGAGAGAGAGAGAGAGAGGTGTATGAGTGACATCTCAGGTTGAGAGGGGTGAATTCCCAAGATGGAGAATACATGAGATAAACATTATAATGAACTATTCAAAATTGATAATAATTTTTGTAAGTAAATAATTAAAATTATATTTTAATATCCACTAAAATTATTTAAAATTTATCTTCAAACATATCAGTTTGACAAGATTATTACTCTAATGTAGCTTAATATTTTCTTTTAGTACTAGAAATAGTATAAAATATTCTAGCTTGAAGAAAGTATTTTCCAATATATCAACTATAATTATAATTTCTATTTAGTAATTTCAGTTTTTGTCTCCATTTTCCCCTCTGTATAAAATATATACAGTCACATGACATGATTCTATTTATAAAATAATTCCCCAAATAATGATTTTTAATGGTGTTTTCCTGATAAACATACATTCCCCCTATCTTCAGGATCATTAAACATTTGCCACATAGACTATAAGAACGGGAACTTGAAAGAGTTAGCAGCCCCAAATAAGAACTATTGAGGAAGGGTGTAGACACTCCAGTAAAGGGTCTGGTACTGGAATATTTATGCATGAAACTCTACCATTAATAGTTTCATCAACTGCAGTACCTAAATTAAAATTAAAAAAATAAAATTTAGGGGCTGGAGTGATTGCATAGCAGGTAGGATGCTTGCCTTGCACAAGGCTGACCTGGATTCGATTCCCAGCATCCCATATGGCTCCCCGAGCACTGCCAGGAGTAATTCCTGAGTGTAGAGCCAGGAGTAAACCCTGTGTATCACCGGGTGTGACCCAAAAAAGCTAAAAAAACTAATCAAAGATGAAATTTGAATTAATATTGTTCAAATTTTTTAAGCAAAATTAATTTTTCATAATTTTCCAATCATGAAAGATTATGCTAATTATGTCAGTACCCACAGAGTCTATGTACTGTCTCAGCAATGCACTGAAAAGTTCCTATATTAGAGTGCAAAATTATCAGATTAGTCATTTCTTAACTGTCTGACTACAAAGGAAAATTTCTAAAAGAAATGAAAACAAAACCAGAATACTTATTTTATGCTAAGCATTACTAAAATAGAATCCTTGGGAGCTGGGTTTGGGAATCTAATTTTTACAATTGCTAGGAAGCTGTGCTGAATTTTATATTTACTAGAATAGATAATCCTATAAGTCTCTTACCAATTAAAAATTCTAGGGTACACAAGTGACTTTTTTAGGAATATTGCCATTGTGGGATAACTTGTACTATTAAAGACTGTCTCAACTATTTTAGTGAATAATTGGAATACTGCTGATAATGAAATAGGGATTTAGGGGCTGGAAGTAGTAGGTAGCTGAAAATTAAAGTATATGAAAATATTGTCATGGACTTTTTATTGTGACTATTCTTAGAATTTGAATGTCAGCTTCAAATGTTCACATATTAAATATCATTTTCTAGGGAAACTTGAAGTACAGATAGAACTTAAATAAAATTGTTAATATAGTTCCCATCCTTTATATTTATATTTTAATTCCCATATGATAACTCTTCTAGTAATTCAGGTCAAGAAAACACTTGTTTCCCTTGACAATCTGTTAAAGTGCCTCTCTTTTTCTCCTTCATTCAACAAGATCTTAGAGCTAATTTTCTTTTCAACTGCAGGGGCTCACCTTCCCTTTAATTTTCTCACTAAAGCTTTGCTCTTGCTCTTCCTTCCCTCAGCTGCCTTTTATTATCTGACTTCACTCCTTTTACACTTTCATTATTTTTATTTTGTTTTATTTCAGCTGTCTTTAATCTCTTTAAGAATATAAAAAAGCAATAGACTACATATTTGCTCATTACTAGGAGATTGAAGGCAGTGTTGGTCTAATTGGTTGAATTTGGGGGAATTGGGCCATGTTTGGCAGTGCTCAGGGCTTATTACTGGCTCTGTGCTCAGGTGACCATATGCAGTGCCAGGAATTAAAATAGGGTCAGCCATTTGCAAGACAAGAGTTTTAAGATTTATAGTATCTCTCTAGCCCCTGGTTGATTTTTAATAGCAAAAAACTAAAGAGGATCAGGTCTTTCATTCTCCCACAGAACTTAAATTCTCAGAGACATATGCCAATACATGGTTGGCACTCGCCAATGTTTCTAAACATGCAGGTAGAAAACAAACATGGAACTGAAACCAAGGTTCCAGGAAAGACAGGGGAGAATGAATGCTAGAAAGCTCCTGGTTTCAATGAAGCTCATAAGTACAAAGGTACAAAGGCAAAGCATTCAGATTTTTGAGGCAAAAACCAAATGTTAGTGTTGTCATACTACTTTGTTTGCTGAGTTGAAAGCAGCAACATCACTTAATTCACTTAACTCACATAATTTAAATAAACCTAAAATCTATGACTTCTTGTCACATCTTGTCACAATCTAGTCAATCCCTGCTCGAGGTAGTCGACGAAAAACAGGATGATCGTGATCGTGATCGTGATCGTGATGTGACTATGGCTGGAGCAATGCCACAGCGGGTAGGGCCTTGCACGCGGCTGACCTGGCCGACCCAGTTTCGATTCCTCCGCCCCTCTCGGAGTGCCCAGCAAGCTACCGAGAGTACCTGGTAGGTAAAGCCTGGCAAGCTATCTGTAATGTATTCGATATGCGAAAACACAGTCACAAGTGTTACAATGCAGACATTACTGGGCCCGCTCGAGCAAATCAATGAACAACGGGAGGGCAGTGACATGTGATTATGATAACTCACTTTGCATTAATAATGGATTGCACAGTGGAAATTCAATTCTTATTATAAAAAAGTTCAAATTCTGGGGTTGGAGCAATAGCGCAGTGGGTAGGGCATTTGCCTTGCACGCGGCAGACCTGAGTTTGATTCCCAGCATCCCATATGGTCTTCTGAGCACCGCCAGGAGTAATTTCTGAGTGCATGAGCCAGAAGTAACCCCTATGCATCACCAGGTGTGACCCAAAAAGAAAAAAAAAGTTCAAATGCAC